TTGAGGAACAGAGAAATCTGTTTTAATACACTTATTGCGTTGTCTTTGGCTGCCACTGTCCACCACAAATGTCATTTGTTTTTTTTTTTATTTCAACATCATCGACATATTATTTAAACACACATACGAATTACTTGATTACAGAGAGTCTGGCTACGGGATGTGAACTTCATTACCTTTCGTATAGTGAAAAGGTTTTAAGGTGGCTCAATCGGATTTTTGAGTAACGATACCATTCAACTTTGAGCGACTAAAGCACCTATTTAAACTAAATTGCCATATAGATAAAATTGTTATTCTCACTTCATATATAATTAATTGAACCCCTCAACTTCCACCATGCTTTTATGCCCCAGGGCGAGCATGAGACTTTGCGGTCTCTTCGTTTAAATTACCGGGTTTTGCCTTGATCACTGTCATTTTGCCGGCGTTCCAGTCTACACTTCTTTTTATATGGCTAGCTCTGCGATAGGTCAAGATGAAACAAACCCTGCTCTGATATTGGTTGCCTGAGCGGGAAAGATGGGAATTACACGCTGTTTCCTTCAAGAAAAGTAGCGGTCTTTGTGCCATCTAATAAATTTATAACTGACAAATCTTGTTTGGTCAAGAAGGTCGGATAATAGCTCTTATTTTGCAAGATTATTAGCCTCGACTGCGTCTTGTTCCATAAACACACGTAAAAGAACTTGGCCAATATCCAGCTGAGCCATATTGTCCATATTAACCTCAAGTTTGGTCCGTAATTAGTATATATTAATCTAAGAAACGTACCTTTGTGGGATAAGGGCCATCTATGACTATTTCATATTTGTCGAAGAAAGCTTTCAAATCCGAAGAGTTTTTGGCCGCTTCTATTGTGAGGTTTATCCCGACAGATGTCGCTTTGTTTGTAAGCCTTCTCTCCAGTAAGGGAATAATAATCTTCGTCTTGTTGGCGTTACATTTTAATGAGCCAATTACCACGACAATGACAAGGATGGAAATAGCCACTACACTATTCATCGCAAGTACGGTAGCTTTAGTGGAGTGCCTTGGAAATCAATAACAGGTGCGCAACTGCAATGAAAACAACAATGAAGACAGCGGGTTAACGTTGCTTACAAGGTCTTAAATTGCGTGAACTCAAGCCGCCGGTTGTAAACCAACAATGCCTTGTTTACCAATTTAAATGTGACCTCTCCGTTACACGTTATGTTGGTTTCACACGCCGGCACTTACATCAACCCGGTGAAGAACATAAGAACTCGTCTTCTTCAACTGGCAAACATTTCCGTGTGAAGCACTCCTTAGCCCCAATGGAATCTTGGCAAGAGATTTATAATTTTGAGAAGTGCAAAAACAAGTTTGACTGCCTCGTTTACTAAAGGTTTTGTTATTACCAAAACATCCCAAACCAAGGCACTTGCCCCATTCATTTATATCGTGTTTTGTTGCTTTTTTT